GGTGGTTATCAGTGTATTACAAAGGTACAAAACAGATTTCAGTACTTCAATATATTGGTATACATTATATCAGTTAATGAAATTACGGTATTTAACTGTAAATTTAAGTTTGCAAAACGTTACCTAAAACGTTGCTACCGTATTTTTTACGGTAAAATTCCGGCAACCACAGCTGCTGGTTTTTTACCGTAAATTTAACGAAAATTTTTTACAGTGTATCGACGAAAAGGGACCCCGACAGAGGGGAAAACATAGGAACCTAGAAAACACAATTGGGCTAGTTTTGATTATCAATGGTGGGGGGATTTTCCCCCACACACCTGGCAATCCTTAACTGCAGGCGCACGCTTATAATAAACAGAACGTTATTGTGCATTGATGTGGAGTGTGGACGTTAATATAGTTATCGTTCTTGGTGTTAACGGGCCTGTGCACTGTTACTTAACACTCATTCCATCTAAATAATCTTTTAAAGTTGTGTTTTCTCTCTTCTTTCACAGGCAGAAGGTCCAATGACTGTCGCGTATGACACTGTGGTGTTCAAGAAAGCAAAAAACCATGAACCAAACCAGGTCTCCATTGTAAGCATTACATTGCTGATACTACTAATGCACATAAAACGATATATTTCCTTATGCAAGACTATGATGTAATCTATTTATACTCGAGTCAGTGATCTCATGAATTTATCTGTGGAAATGCATAATGTAGTGGTCTCAATGCTTTTAATCACTTGACTGCCTTATTGAAATTCATCTCACTCACTGTCTTTTGTGTTTTATTAAATCATTCTCAGAGCCGCCCTCCTGAACGAGATGAAGTGATCTACAGCACTCCGAAACTTCACTAATAACAGATGATCTCAGGCCATTCACATTATGAATATTACAATCTGAAGTAATGGCATCTTCGTCTGTTTTACATCACACAGTTTCTTTTAAAGCCACAAAGGACGTCACTTGAGACAGAAAAAGAGGAACCTCCAGAACACATTTTAAAGTGTTGCATGCAGGTCATGGTTGAGCAGATTATTATTTTGCTATTAAGATTTTTGCCACATCTGTAAAAGTGTCACCTTTTAATTAGCACATATGTTTGTAGTGGAACATTTTGTTCTACTTTTCTACTTTTATTCTTAGTCAGTGTGAGCAAAACTGAAAGATCTTTACCACATCAGAGACTGACACAATGAGTCCAGGTCAGCTTTTAGGTCAACGATTAGTTAGACCACTTCAGAGAAACCTGAAAAAATATGCTTATTTGAAATCGAATTACTCAATATTTGTTTTTGCATAAAGAACTGTTCTGTTTAGTTTTTTTGAACTGCTAAATACCTTAGCATTATTATTGTTGATTGTGTAAGATTTAGTTGTACAACTGTATGAGTACTTTAATGTATACATTAGAGAATATTTTAATGGCTTTGCAAGTGAAAGTATTATAAATGTTATTACATAATGTCTATATGGCTCTCATTCAGTGTAATTTTATGGCATTTTATATACATCTCTCTCTATATAGAGAGAGAGATAATGATATGACATTTCAGGGTTATTAGTTAACTCAAATTAAAACCATAAAACAAATTTAGTTCCTTGCAATAAAATAAACTTTAACTGAAATTTTAAAATATAAAAACAAATGTACCAAATGTTGATGTACTAAAATAACTAAAATTAAAAATTAAATTACAATTAATGAAAAATATACAGAGTAATAACTAAAAACTAATAATTAAAATTGGCAAAATCAACAAAATGACGAAAACTTGAACTAAAATTAAAATGAAAACAAAAATAAAAACAAAAATATTATTAATATTAACTCAAAATATTATTAAAACCAATATATCAGTGATACTAAAATAACCCTGTTTATAGTGACTCTAAAGCAGCTTTGACAAACACTAACAAATCTCAAATAAAGGCATAATTTATTCGGATAAAATAGGTTGAAATTTGATAGACATTTGACAGAAATGCATAAACTATTGTATTGTTGAGCAGAAGCGTAAACACAAGCTGAAATGAATGCTTTTATACAGTTTACCCTGATGTGATCACTACTCAATAGTCTGTGTAATGATGGGGAAGAGGAAAGTCAAGAGGAAAAAATACGCACACTCTCAAAAACAATATTGTTATATGAAAGAAACTGGCATATCTAATAACTTACAAAAGCTATAGCTGTGAATGTGGAGTCCTGTTTGTTTATTCACAGTGTTAGTCCAACAGAGGTCAAGAGTAGGAGAGCAAACGAGCCTCAGACGGGAAATAGATGCGACTACTTCATTCATATCCAGGCTGTAGTGAACAAACCTTCCATCCGCTTTTGGTTCTTGTTTACAGCAGGTTTCATTTTCTTCTGCTGCCTGCCGATCACACATAAATACACACAGGAATGCATCAGAAAGAAAGGATACTTGAAATATGTCGACAGCATTTGCAAGAAGGTCATTAAGTTATTCACACTGCCTGACACACAACACTGGACACAGGGACATCCCGACAAATGTTGTTTGCTGCTGTCCTCACAGTCCCTGTCCAAGAGGTCAAACTCTCAGATTGACATCAGACTGGATCACTTCATTTCACAGTAACAAGACAAAAAATATCTGTTTTTGGTAGTCTCTTCTTTTAAAAGTAGATAACAGCTCTCATTTCATACTGTTGTAATGAAGGAATAGTTCATGCAAAAAATGAAAATCCAGTCATTTATTCACCGTGATGTTAACATGATGCAACATAAATGATCATAATCTGTCATAGTGAGTGTGAATACTGGGTTGTTGAAACTTTTTTAGCCCTCACATCTACACTATTTTTTAAAAGTTTGGTGTGTTTTTTTTTTTTAAAGAAAGTATGCATTTTATAAACAATACAGTAAAAAACATAATATTGTGAATTATTGTTATTTAAAATAACTTTTTTCTATTTGAATATATTTTGAAATGTAATTCATTCCTGTGGTGCAAAACATTGCAAAGCAATTTTCAGCATAATTACTCCAGTCTTCAGTGTCACATGATCTTCAGAAATCAATCTAATATGCTGATTTGCTGCTCAAGAAATATTTCTTATTATTATCAATGTTGAAAACAGCTGTGCTGCTTCATATTTTTGTAAAACCATGATACATTTTTTTTCAGGATTCTTTGATGTATTGAAAGTTTAAAAGAACAGCATTTATTTGAAATGGAAATCTATTGCAATATTATAAATGTCTTCACTGACATCAAACTTTTCAATAGTAGCCTACATCCTATAAATTATTTCACTGGACTACTCTTGGAAACTCTCTTTTTCACTCCCGAATCCTCACTTGCATTTTCTTCCTGATTTATTTTTGTGGTGGTGCTTTACAACTATCTTTTCTCTCTTTTCCCTAGCATCCCTATATCGCTGTAGAAAATGCAATACTTTTTTCTGTCAAAAGCATTTTGACATGTTTTTTAAATTATTCATGTCAAAAAAAATTTACAGCATTTTCCAAACTCTGTGAAACACAAATGAGAACTAGTTAAATATGCGGAATGTTGAATGGAATGTGTTTTTTAAAATAACACCTTAAAATGCATCATAGTGCTTTAAAAAAAAATCGTCATTTGTGATTCTATAAAACATAACAATCATGCAAACAATGCAAATGGTAACAATTTTTGGATGAACTATTCCCTAAAAGCTGCTGTGTGCAATCCCAGAGATGATTATAGGTAATCATTCATAGGTTGATTTCCCAAAGAGAGTAAACTGAATTTTTTTTTTCTCTCTCTCTCTGCTTGTTTGAGCTTCACAATATACACTCTTAAAAAATAAAGGTTCCCAAAGGTGTTTTTGTTGCAATGCAATTGAAGAACCACTTTTGGTTCCCCGAAGAACTTTCAGTGACCAGTTCTTAAAAGAATAATTTTTTTTCTTTGTGTGAAGAACATTTTAATAATCTAAAGAAACTTTTTCTACTATAAAGAGCCTTTTGTGGAATGATTTTAAAGGTTCTTAATGGAACCATGCATAGATGCAACAAAATAACCTTTTTTTTAAAAAGAGTGAATCTTTCCATTGCACAAAATGTTCTATATGGTGAAAAAAGGTTCTTGAGATTATTAGAATCTTCTTCACACCAAGAAAAAAAAAATATTTCATAAAACTGTTCACTGACAGGCTCTTTTGGGGAATCAAATATAGTTCTTCTTTTGTAGCAATACTGACTCAACCAATGGCATGACTTTGGGTACAAATCGGACAACATTTTTGTAAATCCATTTGGTGGCACCGAAACAACACACTGCAGCTTTAAAGTCTGCTATTCCTTCAATGCTTTTCACCAAAAAAATACATTTGTGCTCTGAGAACAAAAGGAAATTCAGCAGGATAACATCCAATGGCAAGAACCTTTAAGTCTATCCAGTGGTTCAGTTCAGCAGTGGATCTCATAAGCGATCTGCGTGTCAAACAGCAAGCTTTGGTTCATGAACAACCCTTCGGGATCAAGCGGAGGTCCTTCGCCTCCTTCTGCAGGAACCCTGCGGGGTCCGATCCCCACGGCCCGGCCTGGGGTCAGCATGCACTCACCGGCTTTTAGCGTCGACCCCTGCTGGTTGTAGGACGGTGGAGGAGGCAGCACCGGTTTGGCGCGGTTTAACACGTACATCTCATGGCCGCATTCGTCCCGGTACTCTTCAAGTTGAGCGAACGTGGTGGGACCGTCGGAGTAGTCGTTGACGTAAAGGATGTTTTCCTCTTTGCTGGCACCATATCCACTTTCCTCTTTCTGCCGTTGGCGGTGGCGACTGTAAATCATGCAGAGAAGCAACAACGCCGTCAACGCCAAAAGAGAAATTCCCACAGCGATGGCCGTCTGGGTCGCGGTTCCCAGCGCACTGAAGTCCATGCTTTCAAGCTCATAAAGCGGCTCCTGACTCACGTCCACCGAGGAAGGATGATAGTAAGATGAGGAATGCAGTCGAGGCCAGATTTCCGAGCGGGACGAAGATGAAGACATGTTTACCGACAGGTGAAAAGTCACCCGAGCCACTCCGCCGGGATTCCAGGCCTCGCATTCGTAGCGTCCGGCATGCGCCACCGTGACATTGCTGAGAAACAGCATCCCGCTTCCTGTATCAGGATCGAAGCTTTCCCGGTCGCCTCCGTCATCGGTTCCTCCTCGGACCGGGCCACACCGACAGGTGAAAAGTCACCTGAGCCACTCCGCCGGGATTCCAGGCCTCGCATTCGTAGCGTCCGGCATGCGCCACCGTGACATTGCTGAGAAACAGCATCCCGCTTCCTGTATCAGGATCGAAGCTTTCCCGGTCGCCTCCGTCATCGGTTCCTCCTCGGACCGGGCCACGACTCGCCGGCCCTCCTTTTCCACCAGGCCTGGCTGTTACCAACCTCCCACCGGTGTCTCCGTCCATCCCGACCTCCTGCACCAGACCTCTGGGAGACACCTGGGCTTTTCCGTGGGACGCTTTCCTCCAGGTGACTTGTGGCTGCGGGTATCCGGAAGCCTGGCAGGACACGCGTAAACTCTCCCCCAAACGGACCGTCAGGTGGCTGGGCTCCAGCTGCACTATGGGCGGGATGCAAATGAGGCTGTTCGCGGGAACCTCCACCAGACTGAGATGGGAGAGGCGCGGAGGTTCGACGCACAGCATCCGGCGCTCGGCTGAGCTTAATAGCCTCTGACCCTCTTCGTTTATCCAGCCGCGCAGCCAGTGCAGAGCACAGTCGCAGCGCCAAGGGTTATCTGTAAGAGCAAATTCAATATAAGGCTCTCAAAATACAGCATTATTACATATTTATCCAAACAGAATTGTTGTGCAAAAATATTTGAGCAAACGTAAAGATGGTCTGATATCTAAATGCCACTAAATGTCACTATGGTAGGTTTGCAGGACATGCAACTCATACAAAACCACAGGACTGTATTAGAGTGAAAGATAGGATCATGAATATTAATTAATTTACTTAACTGGGTAGAGCTACCAATGGAAGCATTACTTAATTAATATTCATTAGACAATCTCACTAGGGGGGCGTGGCAGAGTCTTAACTTTGATAAAGAATATCTCTTTGGTTTTGAGACTTTAGTCTTTGCAACTTCAGGGGTCTTATCTATGCACAATCAGCTTGTAACACTCCAAAGAGAAAGGAAAACTT